GGCTCCCCTCGGCCGGACCGATCCTCTCCACCCGCCCGCCGACCCCGGCCGGCCCCGCGCCCCTCCCTGGGTCCTCCATTCGGCCCGGCGCTCCGACCCCCCGCCCGGGGTCGTCCGGGTGGACCCTGCAGTTTGTAGAGGGTCCCCAGGCGCTCGATGCCCCCCGGATGGAGTGCCCAGGCCGTCCCAACGCCCCTTCCTCCGGATTCGACTCTGGGAGGGAAACCGCGGGCTCCCCGGTTGTTGGGGTGCCCTTCTCGGAACTTCCGAGTCCCCCCACTCCGGTCCCCGGTCCAGGCCATCCACTGCCTGACCCGCCGACCGTGGATGGGTGGCCACCAGGGCCCGGGAGATGCTTGGCTCGGACTCAGAAATCCTGAGAAATCCTGAGAAGCGGCCTGGGCCCCAGAAAAGTTGGGAGTTGATGGTAGAATCGATGAGGTGGAGAAGGGCAGAGTCGCGCAGGGCCAGTCATGAGACTGAAGGAGAATGCAACTGGCTTTTCTTCCTAGGCCTGCAGGAATGGAAAAGGGGAAAAGTGGTTTAGGACAAGCCTCTTTGGGACTTTACTATCCTGTAAATCTGTTAGTCGAAGGTCGACATAAGCAGAAGCCCTGAATTGGGCAGTAAGAAGGAATAAAATGTATTTAAGTAACAAATACCACAGTCCTGGCTGCTTTGCTTCACTTCTTTGGGTTCTGAGTGTTTTCACTGCATTCACAGAATATAGGGAATGTGATAGAGCATTATCTGGCCTGGTCCTGGGTTCTAGGAAGGCCAGAGACTAGGCATGTGAGGAGAGATGGAAATTCAAGGATGCAAGAGGCTTATGTAGAGATCATTTAGGGACTGAAAGGACAGCACAATGACAAAAAACTAAGAGGAGCATCCTTACCTTTTTCCTCAGTAGCTAATGGAGCTCTGATCATTGTGTTCCAGTATCTATATGGCCTTTGGCATGGTGAGGGAAGAAAATATATTCAATAAAACAGGAAAGCTTGTATTTAGGAGGAAATTAGTATGAGAAGGAATGAGCCAGTTGCTTTGGGAATGAAGTACAAGGTTGTGTCAGAGGGAAAGCTGGTTCTGTCTAAGGCTCTAGCTTCTGAGCAACCAGCCTCTCTACTGACTTTTCAGACCAAGCTGTCAGATTTTTTTTAGTTCTTTCGGTTTTGTCACGGTAACCATGTTTGGGTCAATGAAAGAAGAGAGGTCATTCATTGACTTGTCATTGCTATCCTTACCCTCAGCAGAGTGGAGTGGGTCTCCATGTCCATTCACTCTCACTCCCTATCTAGGACTTGGAGACATTCGGGTCAGTGGTAGTTTCTCCTGCAGAGCCTCTCTCTTGCAGGGATGTCTTCGGCCATCCATCTTTTTCTCTTGCTGTCCACAGATTAACCGTGCTGAAAAGGAGGCAACTTCATAGGAGCTAAGATGGGCATGAGGATCAAGCTGCAAAGCACCAACCACCCCAACAACCTGCTGAAGGAACTCAACAAGTGCCGGCTTTCAGAGACCATGTGTGATGTCACCATTGTGGTGGGGAGCCGCTCCTTCCCAGCCCACAAGGCCGTGCTGGCCTGCGCAGCTGGTTACTTCCAGAACCTCTTCCTGAATACTGGGCTTGATGCTGCCAGGACATATGTGGTGGACTTTATCACCCCTGCCAACTTTGAGAAGATTTTGAGCTTTGTCTACACATCAGAGCTCTTCACAGATCTGATTAACGTTGGAGTCATCTATGAGGTGGCTGAACGTCTGGGCATGGAGGACCTCCTCCGGGCCTGCCACTCCACCTTTCCAGACCTGGAGAGTACTGCTGTGGCCAAGCCTCTGACCAGCACCAGTGAGAGCCACTCTGGTATCCTGAGTTGTTCCTCAGCAGAACCTGCCCATCCCCTGGGAGAACTCCGGGGTGGTGGGGAACACTTTGTTCCTGATAGGAACTATGTGTTGGCAAGTGATGCTGGAGGAAGTTATAAAGAGGAAGAGAGGAATGTTGCCAGTGACACTAACCATAACCCGCCTCTGCCACAGCCACCATTGCCACCAAAGACAGAAGACCATGATGCCCCTGCACCGTTCACATCTGTTCCTAGTCTGGTGTCCCAGCCAGTCCTAGGCACTGTCAGCACTGGCATCCAGACCAGCTCAAGCTCCTGCCAGCCGTACAAAGTTCAAAACAATGGAGACTTCAGTAAAAACAGCTTCTTCACCCCTGACAACGCAATAGACATTACCACTGGGACCAACTCCTGTCTGAGCAATAGCGACCACTCTAAAGATCCGGGCTTTGGGCAGATGGATGAGCTCCAGCTGGAGGACCTGGGAGATGATGATTTGCAGTTTGAAGACCCCACCGAGGAGATAGGCACAGCTGAGGAGGTGATTGAGCTGAGTGATGACAGTGAGGAGGAGCTGACTTTTGGAGAGAATGAAAACCGGGAAAACAAGGCCATGCCCTGCCAAGTATGCAAGAAAGTTCTAGAGCCCAACATTCAACTAATCCGGCAGCATGCTAGGGACCATGTGGACCTGTTGACAGGCAACTGCAAGGTCTGTGAGACCCACTTCCAGGACCGAAATTCCCGGGTGACCCACGTTCTATCCCACATTGGTATTTTTCTCTTCTCTTGCGACATGTGTGAAACTAAATTCTTTACCCAGTGGCAACTGACCCTCCACCGACGGGATGGGATTTTTGAAAACAATATCATTGTCCATCCTAATGATCCCCTGCCTGGGAAGTTGGGTCTCTTTTCTGGAGCAACCTCCCCAGAATTAAAATGTGCTGCGTGTGGGAAGGCATTGGCCAAAGATTTCCATATAGTCCGAGGCCACATCCTCGATCACCTAAACTTGAAGGGCCAGGCTTGCAGTGTCTGTGACCAGCGCCATCTCAACCTCTGCAGCCTCATGTGGCACACACTCTCTCATCTTGGCATTTCAGTCTTCTCCTGCTCTGTCTGTGCCAACAGTTTTGTGGACTGGCATCTCCTTGAGAAGCACATGGCTGTTCACCAAAGCCTGGAGGATACCCTCTTCCGCTGCCACCTGTGCAGCCAGAGCTTCAAGTCAGAGGCTGCCTATCGCTACCACGTCAGCCAGCACAAGTGCAACAGTGGCCTTGACGTGCGGCCTGGTTTTGGGCTACAGCACCCAGTTCTGCAGAAGCGGAAGCTGCCAGCAGAGGAGTTTTTGAGTGAGGAGCTGGCCTTGCAGGGCCAACCTGGGAACAGCAAGTATAGCTGCAAGGTCTGTGGCAAAAGGTTTGCCCACACTAGTGAGTTCAACTACCACCGGCGGATCCACACAGGGGAGAAGCCATACCAGTGTAAGGTATGCCACAAGTTCTTCCGAGGCCGCTCAACTATCAAGTGCCACCTCAAGACGCACTCGGGTGCCCTCATGTACCGCTGCACAGTCTGTGGCCACTACAGTTCTACCCTTAACCTCATGAGCAAGCATGTCGGTGTGCATAAAGGTAGCCTCCCACCCGACTTCACCATTGAGCAGACCTTCATGTACATTATCCATTCCAAAGAGGCGGAAAAGAACCCAGACAGCTGACTGGGTCCCAGTAGAGCCAGAGGGAGTGCCCAAGGGGCAGCCAGGATATTGATTTTCTAATGACTTTCAGTCCACCCCAGCTGAAGTTACAATTTTGCCTTGCTAGGAATTCTGTTCTGTGTTGTGTTTAAAGAAGAAAAAAGAAGAAATAGCACATGAGCTGTTACTGTTTTTGAAAAGCAACAGCCTGATTGCATTTACCTCCATACCTGTTCTTGCCCATGAGGGCTGTGTTTTTGATTCTTTTGAGGCTGGCTTTGGGATCTAGTTAAGCAGTTGATGTCTACTAAATCCGCTTTCCCAGCCTCTCTAGTTTTAGTTTACTCATAGGTTTTATGCTGCTAAGAATCCAACCAACAGCCTCACTGTATAGAGGAGGTAGAGAGAGGTTTTCACTGTGGGTGTTGCCGTCAGACCTCCAATGGGGACAACCAGCTGTGAGAAAGATTTTGGGAATGTGGTCAGCAGGACAGCTCACCTCGGGGGCCCGTGCCAGCCCTCAGCAGGGAAAGATGTCAGGGATGGAGGCGTCTGCCTGCTCC